CTTCCTGTTTCAGTTTTTAAGTTGTAATACCTAATATTATCACATTATTTTTGAACAATGGACAAAAATGCAAAAAGACTCACTGAAAGAATTACTACTGCTGCTAAAATTCTAGGAAATTCAGTCCTATTTGTAGAACAACCCAACAAAATCAAATAAAAAATATTCCTAATACTATAACAAAATTAAAATATCAGAACTTTTGAATAAATTTATCTCTGTGCTTAATAATAATTTTCAAAATTTAAATAACATATCACAAATGGAACAAAATTACAATTACTTTATATCATTTATTGTACAATGTTAGTAAGATCCCAGTAATACTTATTTCCAAGCTACCCAGCATTTAGGATATTATGTTATGATGGATTTTTAACTTTAATTAAAGTGAACATTTTAACTTTAACTTGTATACACACACACACACACACACACATATGTGCATATATATATATGTATTTAGAGACAGGCCTTGCTCAGTTGCCCAGGCTGGAGTGCATGTAGTAGTGCAAATATAGCTTACTGCAGCCTGACTTTCTAGGCTTAAGTGATCCTCCTTCTCAACCTTTTGAGTAGTAGGGACTACAGGTGTGTGCCCAGCTAACTTTAACATTTTTTTATAGATACTGGGTCTTACTGTGTTTCCCAGGTTGGTCTTGAATTCCTAGTGTCAAATGATTCTTTTGCCTTGGCCTCTCAAAGTGTTGAGATTACAGGTGTAAGCCACAGCACCAGGCTTTAAGTTTTGATAGCAATAATATGTATTTATTTTTATACTAAAATATAAATGAATAAACAGGTAACTTCTGTTTATAAAAAGAAAAACTGTGTGTGCCTTGAAAAGCTTTGAAAAATAGTCAATCATGGAATAGTTGAAGAAAACTATTTAAAAGATGCAATATATATGTATAAACTGACATAAATTTGAGTGCCAAAACAATCTTACTTTTATAAATTGTTAGAAATGACATTATTTGAATGGTTTCTAAACCACTTGCATTTATAAATATTTGGTGACAATGCTCAATCACATTTATATTTCTCTTGTTTAAAAGATTGATCACATGCTGGCAAAGGCTAAATATTGTCTGGTTAACTGATTTAGCATTCAAATATTTGCCTGGGAGCAAGCTGTGTAAATGTGCTTCATTATAACTGGTAATTGGGTAGCTGGCAAAGGATAGATAACTCTGCAAGAAAAGGAAGCATAAGAAGGAGTTCAGGCTGTTTATCCCAATCCCAAGACACACATTCACAGGGAAATTGTGTGCTTTATAACTACACTGGTAAGTTAAAGATTAATTTATTTTAACAAATATTTATTGACCATCTACTATGTCACTGGGCTAGTTGCTAGAACAACAAAATTGAATAAAAGACACAGTTGCCCTAAAGAACTGATCTTATAGTTCAGTGACTTTAGTGTTGAATACAAAAGCAGCACATTTTACTATAAGCGTTTAAGTGCTATGATAAAGATATAATCAAGATGTTTTTCCAGTGATTAAGAAGTCCCTGAGACAGTATCAGTCCTGAGGCTAAGACACTTTAATACACAAATCACTTTGTGTGATGATGTTTTCCTTCTGTCATCAGACACTCCTGTAGAATGATTTTAGCCTCTATGCTTTGGATATAAATCTGCTCCTGCAACTTGCCTATAAACTAGATTCTGAAAGTATGTATATGTAGTATGTGTCAAATGTAAATATGCAATAAGCATTTAGTTATAGTTATTTGTTTTTAAATGCCATTTCATCTTTTAAATGTTGCAGAAGATCTATTATGAAAGCACTGCTCAGTGTTGATACGGCAGGTTACATGGCCAATGTTTGTTTGACTGCTCCCAGTAAATCGTATTATTACTCAGTTGTCATTCTGAGAAGGGGAGGCCCAAGGATATCTCTGGTATTTTGGCAAGTAGACATTGCAATACACAGAAGGAACTGATATTTCTCCTCTGGTCTAGAGAGGACAGCCCAGCTCCTTCTCAACCATGAATTTGTCGGGAACATGAAAACCAATGTCATCTTTCTCCTCTTTGACTAGCCACTTTTCCCTTTCCTAACAAGGTCTTTGGAAGATTGCGAGAGAATATTCTGCAAGCAATTTTTATTGGCATTTGTCATGATTAACATAGTTAAGCGATATGTATTTTTTCAGATTTATCTCTTTATTTAATTGTGTGTCTTTTGCTCACTTTTATCTTTTGGAGCTTTAGTATTTTTCTGTTTATACAAAATGTAACATTTTTATAACTTGGAGTATATTTTACATGTCATATTATGTGTGTACTCAATGATTGTTTTTAGTGACTTTGTCAAGTTGTGAAAAATCACTAGAAGTCAGTTTTAGAATATTTTCATGACCCCGTTAAGATCGCTAATGTCCACTAACTGTTCATCTACACCTTGACGTCTGTCACCACCTCCTCACCATAGAAAACCTCTAATCTACTCTGTCTTTGTAGATTTACCTTTTCGGAATATTTTCTATAAATCAGAATCATTAAAAGTGTGGTGTCTTTTATCTGGCTTTTTGTACTTAGTTAGCATGTATCAATAGTTCATTGTTTTTACCACTGAAAGGTAATTTATTGCAATAATATTCCATTGATGTGTCTATCAATTCACCAGTTGATGGACATTTAAGTTGATTTCAACTTTTGGCTTCTGAAAACTGCTGCTAAGAACATTCACGTGCAAGTCCTTGTGTGGTTATGTAAGACTTAACGTTTTTCCACACTATATTGTTACTATCACTTTAATATCATTTGACATCAAAATCAAGTATGTTTTTCCTATTGATAAAATTAATGTGAAGATAAAATGAAATTGAATTACTCTTTATTCATTTTTAAAGCTCTCCTTTAAGATTAATTATAAATTAAAATGTAAAAACTTGCTTTTGATTTTTTATATCTTTCTCACTTATAATTTTTGTTATTGTACTCTTACACTATCCTCTAGGAAAATTTCTCTGTTGTCTCTTCTATAAGTGTTTCTATTTTTTAAACCAAAATCTTGTTCCTTATGGCTTATATATCTCACTAACTTATTAACTGGTAAATTTTATTTTTCTAGTAATTTTCTTTTATTTTACATATTTTGATTTTATACAGATTCTTCTAATAATTCTCCTTTCAATTCATCCTGCCTTTTCCTTGTGACTCTTAGTTTCTTTTATTTTCCATCTTACTCATCTTTGAAAGTAAATAAGGTCTCAGGTTTTAGTCTTTTTAAAATTATTTATGCTTTTTGATTTAACACCCTAGCCCATCACTTAGCTACTCAATACTTAAATTTTCATGTTCATAAAATACCAGTAATAATAATAATATGTACCAAATTGGTTCATAGTCAAGAATAACGACAACTCAGTTTCTGAATAAATGGATAGATAAATAGAATAAAACCTGCTACCAAAGAAATACACAAAGAAATATAGTCTAACTAAATATTGAAGGAATCATCCTAAGCTTAAAATAACAAACAATAAAAGAATGGTTTAACACCAAAAGCATTGGCAACAAAAGCCAAAATAGACAAATGGGACCTAATCAAACTCCACAGCTTCTGCATGGCAAAAGAAACAGTCATTACAGTGAACCAGCAACCAACAGAATGGGAAAAAATTTTTGCAGTTTACCCATCTGACAAAGGGCTGATATCCAGAATTTACAAAGAACTCAAACAGATTTACAGGAAAAAAACAAACAAGCCCATTCAAAAATGGGCAAAGGATATGAACGGACACTTTACAAAAGAAGACATACATGAGGCCAACAAACCTGAAAAAATGCTCATCATTACTGGTCATTAGAGAAATGCAAATCAAAACTACATTGAGATACCATCTCACACCAGTTAGAATGGCAATCATTAAACAATCTGGAGACAACAGATGCTGGAGACGATATGGAGAAATAGGAACACTTTTACACTGCTGGTGGGAGTGTAAATTAGTTCAACCATTCCTCAAGGACCTAGAAATAGAAATTTCATTTGACCCAGCAATCCCATTACTGGGTATATATCCAAAGGACTATAAATCATTCTACTATAAGGACACATGCACACGAATGTTCATTGCAGCACTGTTTACAATAGCAAAGACCTGGAATCAACCCAAATGCCCATCGATGATAGACTGGACTGGGAAAATGTGGCACATATACACCCTTATGTGGCAATCAAAAACGATGCGTTCGTGCCCTTTGTAGGGACATGGATGAACCTGGAGAACATCATTCTCAGCAAACTGACACAAGAACAGAAAGTGAAATACCGCATGTTCTCACTCATAGGCTGGTGTTGAACAATGAGAACACATGGACACAGGGAGGGGAGCACTACACCCTGGGATCTGTTGGGGGGAAAAGGGGAGTGACAGCAGGGGGTGGGGAGTTGGGAAGAGAGAGCATGGGGAGAAATGCCAGATATAGGTGAAGGGAAAGAAGGCAGCAAATCACACTGTCACGTGTGTACCTATGCAAATATCTTGCATGTCCTTCACATGTACCCCAAAACCTAAAATGCAATAAAAAACTAAAAAGTTGAAAAGAATGGTTTAATGTCAACCATAATTTTAGATCTTACTAAAAAGGAAATTATTTATTTGAGTACCTGAAGTATAGCTGTGCTACATTAGGCTCCATAAATGTTTTAAGTTATTTAATCTGATTTAATAGTAACATAATTTACCTGAATTCAGTCCTTTCTCTCTCTCCAACAAAACTGAGGTTCAGAAAGATTAGGACTGTAGAGAATTCTGGATAGGGTCTTTTGGCTTTGCTTCTATAACACTATGCACTTCTTTTGGCAGCTTTTATATTGGCAGTGTAGTTCATTGTACAAGCCCCTTAGATAGCACCTATAAGAGTGAGCTGGCTGTGGCCAATGCAGCTGGGTATATACTTGATCCTTGTTTACTAGCAGAAGCTCTCTGTTACCTCATACAACGCGCTGATTCATGGAATGCACAGTGCTCTGAGCTCCCTGCTTAGTTGTGGTGTTGGAGGACCAAGGAGCCAGGAAGGGCAGGTCCAACTGAAGATCCTCTATGGCAGGCACAAGCACCAGTGCCAAAGGAGGATCCAGTGAGTGGTCACCAAACACCTAGAGGTATGCCTAGGTGTGCAGCTGGGAAACTTCCTCAGTTGTAAATTCTCAGCTCAGGGATGGAGGGCAACCTAAGCTCCTAATCTAGGAGAGTGGCTGCTCCAGATGGCTCAAGATCTGCCTGGGTGTGGAGCAGAGAGTGTTCCCTTGCACGAAGACAGGTTGGGTGACTCAGGCTGTTGCACCAGGCAGATAGGTGCTCCCAGTGCTTGGAGATTTGCCTGGGCATGGAGCAAAGAGAGTCCCACAACAACACAAAATTGATAAGCGGAACAAATGAAACAAGATCTTCTGCATAGTAAAAAACCCCCTAAAAACAAACAAACAAACAAACAAAAAAACAACAAAAAACTATCAGTATAGTAATAGACAACCTATGGAATACAATAAAGTATTAGCAACCTATGCATCTGACATAGGTCTGTTATTCAGACTCTATAAAAAACTTAATCAAACAAACAAGAAAAACCACTAAATATTCCCAATAAATATCCCCACAAAATACCCAATTTATAAAATGGGCAAGATACAAAAGAAGACATACAAGCGAGAAACAAACATTAGAAAGTCGTCATCATCACTAATCAGAAATATCAGTTAAAACCACAGTGAGATACTATCTCATACCAGTCAAAACGGTTGTTATTAAAAAGTCATAAAACAACAGATGCTGAAGCTGGTAAGGCTGCTGAGAAAATGAAACACGTATACACTGTTTGGAATGTAAATTAGTTCATCTGCTGTGGAAAGCAGTTTGGAGATTTATTAATGAACTAACTCAGAACTACCATACAACCCAGAAATCCCACTAATGGGTATATATCCAAAAGAAAACAAATTGTTCTACAAAAAAGACACGTGTACATGCATGTTCATCCTAGTGCTGTTCACAAAAGCAAAGATGTGGAATCAACTATGGTAGATTGAATAAAGGAAATGTGGTAAATATACACAGTAGAATAGTACACAGCCATACAAAAGAATGAAATAATGTCCTTCACAGCAACATGGCTATAGCTGGAGACCATTATCCTTCGTACATTAATGGAGGAACAGAAAACCAAATACCACATGTTTTCACTTATAATTGGGAGCTAAACACTAGGTACTAATGGACATAAAGATGGCAACAATACACACTTGGGACTACTAGATGGGGGAGGTGGGAAAGTATTAAAAGGGTGAAAAACTCCTGGGTACTGTGCTTAGTACATGGGCGATGGGATCATTCAGACCCAAAATCACTGCATCAGGAAATATATAGCTAGGTAACAATTCAGGACATGTGCTCCCTGAATCTAAAATAAAAGTGGAATAAAAAAGAAAGATTAAGACATTTTCTGAAAGCCACGCAGCTCTAAGAATTTATGTGTAGAATTGGATTATAACATAAATTTGTTATAACTAAAAAGCGTGGGCTTTTTTTAACTATACTGCATTCACACTGTTTATACTAAATGTTGATAAAACTTAATCAACTCACATAATCTTGGGGTTGTAACTTATTATTTCTTAAATTGTCTCTGAGAAAAACAAATAGATATTGTCAACTCCATTGTGGCTTAAAAATGTGCAGAGCTATCTACATGTCCTTGCCATTTGCTGTCTCATGGATGCCATCCCAAAGCCTTTCTACTTCAAGCTCCAGTGACTCATTCATTGCCTGAGAACTTTCTCTGTCTGAAAAGTCCTTACATAATTCAAAATTCCAAGGATTAAACTTCTTTGGGAGCATCCTTCAATTACACAATTTCTTGCCCTTCAGGTGTGAAAGCAGTGAAGAGTGCTGTTTATAATCTCTTGAGATCCCTGGGGGCTTGAGCCCTAGATAAATACAGTAATAAATTATTCATAAACATTAATTATGCTACCTTTTTATTGGCCTTTTTCTTTCCTTTTTGCACTTTTCCTCGGCTGCATTGGTGCTTCCTGGGATCAGATCCTCTCCCAAAGAAACTATGTGTGTCCAACCAAGTCCATGTCTCAACATCAGCTTCTGAGGGAATGCAACTTAACACGAGGGGATCCATTGTGAAAATATAAATTCTTTCAAAGTTTATAAAATGTGTATAAATTCCTGGATGATGCATGAAGGATTATTAAGGTAATTTAATTATCTTTGATATTTAATCTTTTATATTAGAATTGAATTAAGAATGATTTGTGAGAAGAAAAATGACTCAGTATTTCCTTGTCATTGTTTTTGGTTTCATTTTCTTGTAATTGGAGCATATGCAGCCATATAAAACTAATTATTCTTTCAATTATTCAGGCATTTATTTTCTAGTTATCAAATATGTAATTAAGGTATAGTTTTCAATATGCTGAATGTTTCACATGTCTTGTAATAAATACCTAGTCTATTAATACTCATTCCCTTTGATAAATATCATTAGAAAAAACTGCTGTAAAGCATTGTATTTGGGTATATTTATTTAACAGTGATGTTAGAATTATTATTGTTATTTTATTGTGAGTTATTAAAAGTATGTCCATGTGTTTATTCTAAGCATATGTTTTTCTATTATGAATGTCTTTTGTTTTCTTACAGAAATAATAAAGAATCCCTTGGCTATTAGATCTTATAAATTTAAATAGGTAAGCATAACATTTGACCCCAGGAGTTGGAGCTAAACATTTGTCTAATTGTAATTTTACATATTTTAGGAGAAAATCACTTTGATCATCCTGAAATTGTTAGAAATATAGAAATTATAAGTAGACACCATACATAAAAACTGAATAAACTAGAACTGCACGCTTTACTGTTTGTTCTTAGAAGCGTTTCATTTCTAGAGAAGCATCCTGCTGCTGTGGTTATCTTTTTCAGAGCTTGCTCAAATTCCATGAGGACTTCTTTTGGATCGCTTGCCACAAAGATTACATTCTCTTTGGAGTTCAGATACCATACATCAAAACACTGGAGCTTTTGCAAGTTTTCTCTCAACATGGGAAATATGTCCCCTACAAACTAAAGGCAAAGTCAAAAGAGCAGTAAACAACTTTCTAACTTTCTTCTCCAGGTTTCCTTTATTAAAAATTATGACTACAATATGCCCTCTTTATAGTATGCTTCATTACTCACACTTAGTAACATGAATGTTGTAAGTATGTAATTGCAATAGGCACATTCTTATATTTGCTTGCTTTTTCTTGGTTTATGGCTTGCTTAAACATAAGCAAGAAATAATCTTGTTTTTAAAACAAATTGTTTTCTTTTTTATTTTCTAAATTTAATTACTGCATGTTTCAAAATAGACTAATATAAGCCTTTCTGGAATAATATAATGCAAGGCTATAAACAAAAGCAAATCACATGTTAAGTTTAGTTAATTGTGCTATATCCTCTTACGTTTTATTTTATCTTCCCTTGGAAATAGGGAACACTGAAGTTCTAGAATTGGTTATAACCATCAATGGTTATAACCAGTGACTATTCACCCCTTGAGTTTTATTGCACATACCCAATTTGAAAGAGTTATAGTAATGTGTCCAAATATAACTGTATTTTATTAAGTTCTTTTAGTTCCAGTTATGCTGTTGGTTTTTTATCTACTTTTAATTTTGTTATGTAAATTTATATCTCATATTTCCTTCATAAGCATGTCTTATTTCCTAATGTCTTTTATTCTGTTAATTGCTTTTAATCTTAAATTCCACCTTGTCTTATATTAATATACTTGCTTGCCTTTTGTTTGAATACAGCTGTTATCCATTAGTTCATCTCTTAGTTTTAACCTTTAAGTTTTACCATGCTTAGGGTGTGTTTATTGTAAAGAACCTTTAGGATTTTCTTTTTCTTTTTTTTTTTATTGTAAACTGATTTCTGTGTTTTAATGGAATAATTTAGTTAACATTATATGTAATTAATGAAATGCTAGATTTTACTTTATGTTTATTACTTATTTTATTGTTTTCTTTCTTTTTTCACTTCATTCACCTTTGCTTCTGTGTTTAAAGTTTTCATTACTTTTTCTTTTCCTTGCTAAATGGAAATACTGTACATTTTCATCTCCTAACAGTTAGATTCACTTTCTTTGATCTTATAATCAAGCACTATGCCCCAAACATTTTCCCATCACTGATGCTGGATTTCCCTAAACACAAACAAGATGGATCTTTCCAGTCTTCTAATTTCCAGTACTCTCATCCTCCATTCTCTTTCTTCATTTTGAAGATATCATTGTAGTAGTTTATTTCTTCCCCTCCTCTCTTAATTTTCTCACTCTCATTGTTTTGCTTTTGTGAAGATAGTCTAGAATTAATTTTTCTTAATGGTATTCCCTTCTATTTTGAAAGTTCTTCTTGTCCAGGCACGGTGACTCACATCTGTAATCCCAGCAATTTGGGAGACCTGGGAGGATGGATCACGAAATTAGGAGTTCAAGACAAGCCTGGCCAAGATGGTGAAACCCCGTCTCTACTAAAAATACAAAAAAAATTAGCCAAGTGTGATGGCGGGCTCCTGTAATCCCCAGCTACTTGGAAGGCTGAGGCAGATAATTAATTGAACCCCGGAAACGGAGGTTGCAGTGCCACTGCACTCCAGCCTAGGCAAGAGAGCAAGATTCAATCTCAAAAAAAAAAAAAAAAAGTTATTTAGCTTTTCTCTTTCTCATTTCTATGCAGCCTATACTTGTCCACAAGCATATCTCACAAGGTTTATTGCTCACTTCTTTCCTCTAATTATTTCTTTACCTTAAAATCCTCATTATTTTTCTTTTGATGTTTGCTTAGAATCTTTTCGCAGATGTTTGTCTTGAGTTAATATATACTCTCAGAATTCTTTCATACCTTCAAATACTTTTCTTTTTCTCTGGCAGATAAATAATATATTTGGGTTGAAATCTTTCTCTGCCAGTAATATATCAATACTGCTCAACTGTTTTCTAGCTTACAGTGCTGCAAAGGACATGCACTTTGCCAGTCTGAATATATAGTTCCTACGTACATTTTTTTTCTTTCTCTCTAGAAGCTTATGATATTTCCTTTTCAACCTAACACGTTTTATTATGATTTTCATTATTGTGTATCTAACCTAGAACTGAAGGAGACTTTTGATCTACAAATTGATGTATCTTTCTTTGATCAATTTTTATTTCCATTATTTGTTTAACTATTGCCTCTCTTTTTTTATTAGCATGTTAATTTCTATTTCATTTGTGCTGCTTCTGAAACTTTTATAGTTCATGTTTTAGGGCTCCTGAATCTATTCCAGTCTCTTGACTTTTGTATTATTATTTCTCTATTTTTGCACTGTGCTTTTCTTGTCTTGTATTTTTTTTATTTTTATTTTTATTTTCTCCTTCAAAAAGCTTTATTTCCACTTGGTCCAAGGATTTTCACTTCATTCATGTTTGCTTCTGTGGGTAGTTTTAAAAGCTGCCGATTGGTTGGAGAGAGGCTTAGGCAGAAGCCCTGTTACTTTGATAGGGGCCCTTCAGAAGTCACTGGACGCAGTAGGTTCCTAGCCATGCTTGAGAGTGAGCCTTTCCAAGAGATATGCACCCAGTCCAGCCTCTGGGCTGGCCAGCCTATGGAGAGTAGTCAGACAGTTGATCACCAATCTTCTTGATGAGTTTTGCTTCCTTATCTAGGAAGTGACTCTCCAGGAAGCCACTGAGATGGGAATGTGTGTGGGTAGAACCAAGGGTATGAAGATCCAAAAGGTCTTGGTTCACGTTTTTCTCCAGGGCTATGGTGGCTTCCATGGCATTCGGGGTTTTACCCCACTCAACTTGAGCCAGCATCTGAATGTCATCGAAGAGAGCACAGCCGCCCCACTGGCTTTGCATCTTCAGGAGACACTCTGTGCCCACCAATTTGCCTGAGTGGCCCAGGCCTTCCAGAGACACATTACTGCAGTGGAAATAGAAGCCCAAACTGAGGTAGGTGTAGAAGGCCCGCAGGTGCAAATTGACAAGGCGGTTGATGGCTCCCTCCACCTCCATGGAATAATCCTGACAAATCTGGGAGCGTATGGTCAGTTGGCAAAAAGGAGCTAACCACAAAAACCGGGTTGGCTGTCTCAAAAGCAGGAGATGGCAGAGAAGATGGTCCCAGGTGTTGCAAGTGGAGAGGAGGTCCAAGGGTGGTCGGAGGCCGTCAGAAAGAGAGTCCTGGGATCTGTTCTGTCCAAACAGTGTTGAAGCAAGACACAGATCTGTGGGACATCTGTGTGGGCTATGGGCTGCCGATATATTTCTTTTTTTTCTTTTTTTTTTTAGACAGAGTCTTGCTCTGTCACTCAGGCTGGAGTGCAGTGATCTCTGCCTCCCAAGTTCAAGGAATTCTCCTTTTCCAGCCTCGAAAGTAGCTGGAATTACTGGCGCAGGCCACCAGGTCCAACTACTTTTGTGTTTTTAATAGAGACAGGATTTCACTATGTTGGCCAGGCTGGTCTCTAACTCCTGACCTCAGGCGATCTGCCCGCCTTGGCCTCCCGAAGTGCTGGAATTACAGGCGTGAATCACCGCAGCCGGTCGATATTTCTTACACTAGTCTCTGTTTCATCAGTGACTATCCTCTCCTTAAATTTATCTCCTAAGACTTTGTTTCAAAAATAATTCTAGGTTTCTCAATCACCAAATATCTTATGTGTGGGTGTGTATGTGTGATGTACTTGCATATCTTTAAACTCTTCTCTTAGTAGCCACATTCTTTAGCACTTCTGCTTCTCTGGATGTGTTTTATTACTCTCCTGCCAACTCTTTTTTTTTTTTTTTTTTAATTTGGATGCTGAGTCCCTTGGAAGAGATGTTAGTTTTGTTATTGTTTTTATTTATTTGTCTCAGGTCTAGTTGTTGGAGGTTAAAAAAAAAACAAACCAAAAAAATCCCATAAATGGATTCATGAATCTCAAACATGGATTGATGTTGTATAATATAAATAAGAAGGCTGTCAGTCATATGATAAAGCACATGGGGAAAACCTTCAAATTCCTCGACCCCCTGAACTTACCAAGTCTCCAGAGTATGAGAGATCTGGCCTAGTTATTCTGCTTTCTTTTGACATTTTGGGGGACAATGATAGCAAGCCCACTTATGTGGAAGCTGATATCACCGTTTTCCTGGTGAGTCCTCTAATCTCTGCCAAGATTTTCCACAATTCAAATATGTCCTATTCCTTACTCCTTGGTGTCGACACTGATCTCCGTGTTCTCAATTCTTGGTCAGTCTCTGAGGAAGAAAGTTCAGTGCCACTTCTCTCTTTCACTGTATGTTGAATCTCCAGCAGAGCTCCTAGCCTTGTTTGCAAAATATCTACCAGGAAGATCCAGAAGTTAGTCTCCTATGTCTTCATTACTAGCAATTTCAAGCTTTCGTATTTTTTGCCTCAATGCAAATATAATCAGAATAATTTGTATTAACTAAATTCTATTGATAAAGCTATTTTCTACATGTGATTTTCATGATCACTCAGTTTCATATTTTTAGAAAATAAATTTAAAAGCCCTAATTAACGATTAATGGATATGGAAAAAGCATCTGTTAATGTGTGAATGGATAAAGAAAATGTGGTAAATATACACAATAGAATCTGATTCAGCCTTTAGAAAAAGGGAAGTCTTGGCCAGGCACAGTGGCTCTCACCTGAAATCTCAGCACTTTGGGAGGCAAAGGTTGGTAGGTCTCTTGAGCTCGGGAGTTCAAGATAAGCCTGGGCAACATGGTGAAACACTGTCTCTACAAAACAGGATAAAAATTAGCCAGGAGGGGCCGGGCGTGATGGCTCAAGCCTGTAATCCCAGCACTTTGGGAGGCCGAGGCGGGTGGATACTGAAGTCAAGAGATCAAGACCATCCTGGTCAACATGGTGAAACCCCGTCTCTACTAAAAATACAAAAAATTAGCTGGGCATGGTGGCGCGTGCCTGTAATCCCAGCTACTCAGGAGGCTGAGGCAGGAGAATTGCCTGAACCTAGGAGGCGGAGGTTGCCGTGAGCAGGGATCGCGCCATTGCGCTCCAGCCTGGGTAATAAGAGCGAAACTCCGTCTTAAAAAAAAAAAAAAAAAAATTAGCCAGGCATGATGGTGTG